GGAACCTTTTTGACTGGGAGAGCCATAAAAGCCAAATATTTCTAAATATATTTCATTGAGAGCCATATAGTATTTTTAACGTATAATAAATTAAATGTCTTACTTTTAATGCGACTTCTGGTCACGGGACCCGTGACCCGTTAAATTTATCTTCAAAACTAATTTCTGTTTACTTTAAAATGACACAGTATTATTAAGCAATATCACAAGTATTTTAAAATCAGTTCCAAACCGATTTTTTTTTTCAACTCAAAATTGTCTGGGAGCCATATGCCGTCACCGGAAGAGCCATATATGGCTCGCGAGCCATAGGTTCCCGACCGCTGCTGTATAGGGTCCCTAAGTAATTAAAACAAAAATAAATGTTTTACTTGCATAGTAAAGTAATTGTATTTTTTCATTTGCTACACAGCCAGATAATACGAAAAATCGCTAACCTTAAACACCCAGTCGTTCCTAAAAGTCGAAGGCGGTATAGTACTAAAGTAATAGAGCAAGTGCAGAATAACTGAATAAAGATTGATAGCTTGAAAGCGTTTAGCGCGGGGCGCTTGAAAGTGCGGAGCCCGTAGGCACTACATATGTAGTTGTACTACACGTGTAGTAGTGCTACTACTAGTAGCTACTACACATGTGTAGTAGTAGCTACATATGTTTTTTATGCCTGGTTAAATAGAGGTGTAGTACATATGTAGTAGTAGTAGTAGCTACTACTACTACATATGTACTACACGTGTAGCTACTGCATATGTAGTAGTAGCTACACATGTAGTAGCTACTACTACATATGTAGTAGTAGCTACATATGTAGTAGCTACTACTACATGTGTAGTAGTAGTAGTAGCTACTACTACTACATATGTACTACACGTGTAGCTACTGCATATGTAGTAGTAGCTACACATGTAGTAGCTACTACATGTGTAGTAGCTACAGGCCCCGAACTTTCAAGGGGCCACGCGCTAAATGCTTTCAAGCTATCAATTCCGCGTCGGTGATTCTGCACTTGCTCTATTACTATAGTACTATACCGCCTTCAACTTTTATGAACGACTGGGTGTTTAAGGTTAGCGATTTTTCGTATTATCTGGCTGTGTAGCAAATACAAAAAAATACAATAACTTTACTATGCAAGTAAAACTAAATGTATTTTAACATTGACGTGTTTTACTTTTTTAATTTAGCGCTTCTTTATCACAACATATACTACAGGCCTCGGACTTCGCTTCGCCCGGCACTGCCCATGATGCCCATCAACCCCTCCCAGCCCCCAACTTCACTTCGAAGCTGAACAGTTTAAATGAATCTCATCGTCATCTGCGGTCATTTTTCTCTAATCCACGCGTCGTCCCCCCGCACCCCCTTTTCAAGCCGTGTCTTGTTGCGACTCTAATACCGTCATCATAATCATAATACGGCAGTCATAGACAGATAAAGGCGCAGCCTCGCAACTGCTCGCTCACCACACACTGCTGGCGGAAGGGTCTCCGCTAGAGGGAGCTCCGGAGAGAGGGAGAGAACCCCTACACATGGGTCTTCCACGCTGGCTTTGACATGAATCGATAAGAGGTGGGAGTTGCCCACACTTCACCCCACCTTATATCGACCTGCAGATCGACTTCACTTGCGTGGAGGAGAGTGGGCGAGGGGGGAATGATCGAATCCGGGACATGGAATCGAACCGGTGCGCTCGGGATTACGGGTGACGGAGTGAGCTGCCCGGGCCTTGTGGTAGTGATGGTGGTGATGGTGGTGGTGGTGATGATGGTAGTGATGGTGGTGGTGGTGATGGTAGTGATGGTGGTGATGGTGGTGGTGATGGTGGTGGTGGTGATGATGATGGTGGTGGTGATGGTGATGATGGTGGTGGTGGTGATGATGGTGGTGGTGATGATGATGGTAGTGATGGTGGTGATGGTGGTGGTGATGATGGTGGTGATGGTGGTGGTGGTGATGATGGTGGTGGTGATGATGATGGTGGTGATGATCGTGGTGGTGGTGATGATCGTGGTGGTGGTGATGATGACGATGGTGGTGATAATGGTGGTGATGATGGTGGTGGTGGTGGTGATGATGATGGTGGTGGTGGTGATGATGATGATGGTGGTGGTGATGATGGTGGTGGTGGTGATGATGGTGGTGGTGATGATGACGATGGTGGTGATGATGGTGATGGTGGTGGTGATGATGGTGGTGGTGGTGATGATGGTGGTGATGATGGTGGTGGTGGTGGTGATGATGATGGCGATGGTGGTGATGATGGTGGTGGTGCTTCATTTTGCCCCCCCCCCTCCCCCATTCAGAGAGGACTCGGTTCTCTCGTCCGCGCGCCCACTCGTGTTCGACTACCACACACACACACACAACAACAAAAGGCAAAGATCCCCCGTGTAGCCTTACCGGACTGTAGGGGCAAGTGCTGTTCCTCGCGAACAGCACCGGCACCAGGTGCTAATTTGAGGCTGAGTCGACCTAGGGGAGGCCCAGGACCTGTTCTGATAATCGTCACTTGAGGTTGGTGGCCGTGAGAAGAAATCGAGACTTGGACACCCGCTGGGTTCGTAGCGCAGTGCGCTACCCACTACACGACCACTCACTCAGCCACTACGACTACCATCACCACCACCACAATGTGTTCAACCACCACCACTACCACCACCACCACACTGTGTTCAACCACCACCACTACCACCACCACCACACTGTGTTCAACCACCACCACCACCACAATGTGTTCAACCACCACCACTACCACCACCACCACAATGTGTTCAACCACCACCACTACCACCACCACCACAATGTGTTCAACCACCACCACCACAATGTGTTCAACCACCACCACCACAATGTGTTCAACCACCACCACTACCACGACCACCACACTGTGTTCAACCACCACCACCACAATGTGTTCAACCACCACCACTACCACCACCACCACACTGTGTTCAACCACCACCACCACAATGTGTTCAACCACCACCACTACCACCACCACCACAATGTGTTCAACCACCACCACTACCACCACCACCACACTGTGTTCAACCACCACCACCACCACAATGTGTTCAACCACCACCACCACTACCACCACCACCACACTGTGTTCAACCACCACCACCACCACACTGTGTTCAACCACCACCACCACCATCACAATGTGTTCAACCACCACCACTACCACCACCACCAAACTCTGTTCAACCACCACCACATTGTGCTCAACCACCACCACTACAGGTCACAACAACTTACTGACTCACTCTCACACACACACACAAAGACAAAGATCCCCCGTGTAGCCTTAACAGACTGTAGGGGCAAGTGCTGTTAGCGAGCACGTATGAAGGCCGGAACGGCACACGAGGGGGTGGGTGGCCAGCACCACGCCCGGCCGCCTTTGTCTCCCCAGTGGCGATGTTTACACACCGCACCGGGTACTCATTTGAGGCCGAGTCGACCTAGGGGAGGCCCAGGACCGGTTCAGATAATCGTCACTGGGTGTTGGCCCTGAGCGGGAATCGAACCCGGATCGCCGGGTTCATATCGCAGCGTAGCGCTAACCACTGCGCCACCGCTCCCCACACGCACACACCCACACACCCACACATCCACCCCCACACACCCACTCACACACCCACACACCTACACACTCACACACATCCACACACCCACACACCCACTCATACACTCACTCACACACACGCACGTTCACACACCCACACACTCACTCACACACCCACACACCTACACATTCACACATCCACACCCACACACCCACTCACACACTCACTCACACACCCACACGCACGTTCACACACCCACACACTCACACACCCACACACTCACACATCAACACCCACACACCCACACATCCACACCCACTCACACACTCACACACACTCACACACACATCCACACCCACACGCACGTTCACACATCTACACACTCACCTACACACTCACCCACACACACCCACACACACACCCACACACCCACACACCCACCTACATACTCACCCACACACTCACCCACCCGCTCACCACAACCGCAAGTCACGGCACTTTTCTGCCGCATCCCTCCCAACTGCTCCCCTTTGGAATGTCCGTCCGTCCCTCCCTCCCTCATCATCGCCGTTTCTCATCCCGCAAGCGGCCACATCAAATATCCTCGTTCGGCTGCGAGTACCCGTGGTTCATCTCTCCCTCTCTCTCTATCCTTTTAAGAACCTGGATGCGAGTTCGGTTTGTCGCTGACCGCTCGACGTTTCCAGCCATGTGCCTCGTGCCTCGAGAGTTTGTTCACCGCGACAATAAACGCACGAACGGGCACGGCACGATCGCCGACACCACGCGGCCGTGAACGAGACAAATCGAACTGCGTCTCAGGAACAAATCCGAAGGAAGAGGGAGTTCAAGTTCAAGTTCATGTATTAGGTATAGAGCCCTGTGAGCCATTCGGCTCTTGATAGGGTGCAACCGCAACAAACAAAAAACATTAACAAAAAAACATCTTAAAGTGAATATGTGACTGGGTGCAAACAGAAAATCCAAGAAAAGACAGCAAACTGTTGCAGAAAAAAGCACCGTACACCAACGCTGTGTGCAAAAATCCCAGTGGGATGCAAGTCAAACAACAACAACAACCACAAGACAAGGGGGGGGGGGTAAGAAGGAGGAGAGCAGAGCGTGACATTTTTCGTGAAATATTTCATTTAAACAGGGGAGGGGGGGGGGCACATAAAGCAAAGCATTGGGGAAAAACACACACAAAAAACCGAAATGATGAACGAAGCAAAGTGCCGACTACACCGAACATCTTCTTGTTTCCTGTGATCGTAAAAAAACAAGAGAGAGAGAGAGTTTGAGGAGGTTGACTGACGAGGGGTGATGTCAGCCACAACTCCGCCCAGCCGTGGCTCTCCCCCCTCCTGCTGCTCCTCCTGCTGCTGCTGCTCCTCCTGCTGCTGCTGCTGCTCCTCCTGCTGCTGCTGCTCCTGCTGCCGTGAGCTTCAAGCCCTCGACGCTGAACTTTTAGTCGACACCTCAAACAAAACTCGTGGCGTGCGCGCGCGCCGAAGGTTTCAAAGTCTGGGTGAAGGAGTAAAACTCCCAAAAACAAATACGGAGAGTTGGGTGTAGAGAGGGGACTGGTAGGGAGAGGGTAGAGAGAAGGGCAGGGAGAGAAGGGCAGGGAGAGAAGGGCAGGGAGAGAGAGACAGAGAGAAGGGCAGGGAGGTGAAGAGGAGATGAAACTACGACGGCAGCGGTGACGAGAAGAGTGAAGGTATGTGTCTGTGTGTGTGTGTGTCTGTGTGTCTGTGTGTGTCTGTGTGTGTGTGTCTGTGTGTGTCTGTGTGTGTGTGTCTGTGTGTGTGTCTGTGTGTGTGTCTGTGTGTGTGTGTCTCAGCAGCAGCGCCACGTTAAGTATGCCGATGATTTGGTAATAGCTGCTCATTCAGAGGAGGATTTGGAGACGCTGCTGCTGAGACTGGAGCGTGCCACTAAGAGGTGGGGCCTTACCATCAGCCCCACCAAAACTAAGCACCTGTCTGGGTATTTTGTACCATCGGACACTCCACCCACACAACTCCCGATCGGTGATGGGGCAGTTGTGGAAAGAGTTTCCCATACCTGGGCAGTATGCTTATGACCGGCTCCAGTCTATCAGCAGAGGTCTCACTCCGAATCAGTCGAGCGGCAATATCTTTTCATCGGTTGCGTAACGCTGTGTGGAAGCTACCTGGTCTGTCGCTCCGCACGAAGCTTCAGGTCTTCTCGGCCACGGTCATTCCCTCCCTTCTCTACGCTTGCGAGACGTGGACCCCCCTGGTGGAGCATCTTCGCCGGTTGGAAACATTTAGGCTGGCCTGCCTACGATCCATCCTGGGTTTAACCAGGCTGGATTGTGTGAGGAGCTCACAAATCCTTGAAAGATCTGGGCAAAGTCCCATCAGTGAGCTCCTCCGGCAGGCAAGGCTGCGTTGGCTGGGTCATGTAGCCCGCATGCCCAGCCACCGCATGCCTAAACAGCTTTTGTTCGGCCGGATCGAGGGGGCTAGACGGGCGCGGCACGGGCTGGAGAAGAGATGGAGTGATGTGGTACAGGAGGACGTGGAGCTGAGTGGACTTGCCGATGACTGGTACCAGCGGTGTCAAGATCGGCCTCAGTGGAGGAGGCTCGTGAAGGACGCTACTGGGCAGTTGGAGGCAGTCGCCCTCCAACAACAACGGAGGGCGGAGGAGCGACGCTCACAACAACGAGCGGAGCGCCGGGTGGCTAAAGCACAGCAAGTTGGCACAGTAGGGGGCACAGGTGGTGCATCAGCCAGTCATCTCGGTCATCTCGGTCAGTCGACCAGTGGCACCTGGGTCTGCCCCGTGACCTCCTGCCAGCGGGCTTTCGACACTTCACGTGGCCTCAAGGTGCACTTGGCCTGGCACAAGCATCGTGGTGACGTCACCGCCACTTAGTGGCGAATGGCGGTTGTTGTTGTTGTTGTTGTGTGTGTGTCTGTCTGTCTGTGCGGTTAGCGCAGCGTAGCGCTAACTGCTACACTACCGCTCCCAAACCACTACCACAACACGCGCACAGACACAGAGAGAGTGACACAGCGACACAGACACAGAAAGAGAGAGACACACAGCGACACAGACAGACACAGAGAGAAACACAGCGACACAGACACAGAGAGAGAGAGACACAGCGACACAGACACAGAGAGACACAGCGACACAGACACAGAGAGAGAGACACACAGCGACACAGACACAGAGAGAGACACACAGCGACACAGACACAGAGAGAGACACACAGCGACACAGACACAGAGAGAGACACACAGCGACACAGACACAGAGAGACACAGCGACACAGACACAGAGAGAGAGACACACAGCGACACAGACACAGAGAGAGACACACAGCGACACAGACAGACACAGAGAGAGACACACAGCGACACAGACAGACACAGAGAGAGACACAGCGACACAGACAGACACAGAGAGAGAGACACAGCGACACAGACAGACACAGAGAGAGACACAGCGACACAGACACAGAGAGAGACACACAGCGACACAGACAGACACAGCGACACAGACACACAGAGAGAGAGACACAGCGACACAGAGAGAGACACACGGCGACACAGACAGACAGAGAGAGACACAGCAACACAGACACAGAGAGACACACAGCGACACAGACACAGACACACACACAGCGACGTGAGGTCTGCGATGATGCAGACAATCGCTGTCTGCCTGCCCCGAGGCGTCCGGGGGTCAGGGGCGAGTGGCAGGGACCGGCGTTGTGTCACGGCCTCGGGGAGATAAGTGGGGGGCGGGGGGGGTCACAGAGCCGCTGCAGTCTACCCTGCAGCGTGCCGTCTCGGTGTCTGCGTGGGGAGCGGTGGCGCAGCGGTTAGCGCTACGCTGCGCTACCAACCCGGCTGTGACACGGAGTTCGATTGCCGCTCACGGCCACCACCGCGCGGTGACGATTATCCGGACCGGTCCTGGGCCGCACCTAGGTTGACTCGGCCTCAAATGAGTACCCGGTGCGGTGTGTAAGCATCGCCACAGGGGAGACAAAGGCGGTCGGGCGTGGGTTGCTGGCCACCCACCCCCTCGTGTGCCGTGCCGGCCTTCATAGGTGCTGCTACTCGCTAAACAGCACTTGCCCCAACTGTCTGTTGAAGGCTATACGGGAGACCTTTGTCTTTGTGTGTGTGTGTAGCGGGGGAGCGATAGTGTAGTGGTTAGCGCGCTGCGCTATGAACCCAGTGATACGAGTTCGATTCCCGCTCACGGCAAACACCAGTGACGCTTATCTGAACAGGCCCCGGGCCTCCCCTAGGTCGACTCAGCCTCAAATGAGTAACTGGTGCGGTGTGTAAACATCGCCACTAGGGAGACAAAGGCGGTCGGGCGTGGTGCTGGCCACCCACCTCCTCGTGTGCCGTTCCGGCCTTCATAGGTGCTCGCTAACAGCACTTGCCCCTACAGTCTGTTAAGGCTATATGGGGGATCTTTGTTCTTTGTGTGTAGCGGGGGGGCAGCGGTGAGCGTTGAATTTCTTTCGCACCGTACGCAGGGTCGGATTAAGATTGTGTAGGCTCCTGGGGGCTACAGGGTATGTGAGCCCCCCCACCCCACCACCCCCCAGTAATACTTTCAAAAGAAGAACAAAGTTAAAGAAAAATAAAAGTTTAGCATTCACAAATAAAATAACTTCTCACTTCATCTGTGGAGGCACTCCAGCTGACGAGGCCCCCCTAAAGCCCCCCACGCCTTAATCCGGCCCTGATCGTACGTAGCCAGTCGTGCCGGTCCTCTCCGAGGTCGACTCAGCCTCAAATCAATACCGGGTCTGGGGGAGAGGGGAGAGAGACAAAGACGTCCGGGCGTGGTCGCTGGTGGCCACCCCGCTCGCTTGCTCCTGTGCCTCAGCATTTCCCCAGCAGTCCGTCAAAGGCGACACGGGCGATATTTGTCTTTGCGTGAACCTAGCCTGGCACAAGCGCCGTCGTGACATTAGCTATGGCGTGGGGAGCGGTGGTGCAGCGGTTAGCGCGCTACGCTGCGATATGAACCCGGGCGACCCGGGTTCGATTCCCGCTCACGGCCAACACACCAGTGAAGATTATCTAAACCGGTCCTGGGCCTCCCCTAGGTCGACTCAGCCTCAAACGAGTACCTGGTGCGGTGTGTAAGCATCGCCACTGGGGAGACAAAGGCGGTCGGGCGTGGTGCTGGCCACCCACCCCCTCGTGTACCGTGCCGGCCTTCATAGGTGCTCGCTAACAGCACTTGCCCCTACAGTCTGTGAAGGCTACACGGGGGATCTTTGTCTTTGTTTTGCGGCCCGTTTGCGAATCCACTGCAGGCTGAGGGTTAATTGGCCATACTTCACCACGCTGGTCAACGCGGGTTGCTGAAGACTCCGTGCGTGTACGAAGCGTGCATCATGCGTGCATCATGCGTGTGTGATGTGTGTATGATGCATGACCAGGCAAAAACCGGCGGACCGAGTAATTCGCCTCCAGCGGAGTGTGACAATAAATCCAACAGATAGCGGACAAAGCGCACACAACAACATCAGCATCATCATCAACATCATCATCAGCAGTAGCAGCCATGGTTGATCCACTGCTGAATGAAAACATCAGAAATCCACCGGCAAATTCGCGCGCGATCCTGCGACCCAGCAACGCGCCCCCCGTACGCAACGCGCCCGTCGATTCCGTCGCTCCATCTCCACCGTGGACGTCCCACCCCCTCGGCTGCCGCTCGCTCCTTGAATCGCCTCGACCGCGAACCATAATCATCTTCGTCTGGCTGTGACGCGTCCTGTAACGAGCCGATAATTACGTCGACCTTGACAATTTAACTTCTCTCTCTCGCTCTCTCGTCCACGTGTCCCCCCCCTCCTCCTCCGTCTCTCAAAGCATCATCTCCAAGCACGCATCTCGCATCATCTCCATCGCGCTCTCTCCTCTGCCGATGCACGAATCTCATCGTGACGGACGTCTCAGACTTGCGCGCGTGTCCTCTAACCCAGGGGCAGATGTCGCAACCGGGTACCCGATACCCGTACGCTACCCGATACACGGCTACCCGTACCCGGCCGGGTACGGTTACGGGTAGCCGTTTGCGACCCTGGTGCGGCCGGGTACGGGTAGACCGTGAGTCACTGGTGAGTCAACGTTTGTCACTCATTTCCCAACGTCTTGTCTCTTCTCACAATTCGAGTTCCTAAAATCAACCCACCCGCGCCTGCAACGTGGCTTCATCCCAGAGGTCGCAATCGGGTACCCGATATCCGTACCCTACCCGATACCCGGCTACCCGTACCCGGCCGGGTATCGGGTAGGGTACGGGTATCGGGTACCCGTTTGCGACCCTGGTGCGGCCGGGTACGGATACGGGTAAGGAATCAAAACCCGTTTGCGACCTCTGCCCAGAGGTCCCCATTAACCCCCGGGCCGCAGACCGGTGCCGGTCTCAGTCACGGGGTTTTGGTTAAGCCCACGAGCTGCTAGCCCCGAGTAGCCAAAATGAGTAACAAACAAACTTCGCTGGAGAGCTTCTTTGAAAAGAGGGAAAGACCCAATGATGACCCTGACCCCCCCCCCCCACCCCCGGTCCGTGAAAGAATTGTCTTCCACGAAAGCGGTTCCTGGTGCCAGTAAGATTGGGGAGTGCTGCTAGAACTCCACGCACTCCTCTGTGCTCAGAGTGACACCGTCACCCTCTGCCGTGATCACATCTTGTGTCGGA